GGGAGAGGGAAAAGAGAGGAGATGGGAGATGGGAGAGGGTGGGAGGGAGGGAGGATGGCAACTAAGGGAGAGAGAGAATATATGGGGAGTTGATTGTGCTTTCGGGCTTTCAGATGTGGAATTAAGTGGCGAGTGGGTGGATTAGGGTTCTGGAAGCTTGGCGACGAAGGCGAAGCGTGACTTTGTCATTTGTGGTGAAGACAGGATGAGAAAAGGAAAACAAGAGAAAAAGAACGATTGGTAATGTTGTGTGTTGGAAGGTACATCGATCCCACAAAGATAGATGTTTTAATTTTTTGTACGAGACAACTTCATCGCTGTACGTACTTGTTAAACCTATTTCCATATCTTCTATTTCCTTTCGGACCATCTCGTCCAGATTCCCTGTTGACCTTGGGGGTGGGGAGGAGTTTGGACGATGAAGGGCGGGCTGGATAATCTCAACGATCTCAGCGTTGATCCTTCTGGACGACCTGCGGGACCGGTTGCTAGGACCTGGTGCTGAGCCTTCTGGACCTGCTGGGTCGGTTGGTAGGACCTGGTGTTGAGCCTTCTGGACCTGCTGGGTCGGTTGGTAGGACCTGGTGTTAAGCCATCTGGACCTCTGCCTGACCAGTTGCTAGGACCCGGTGTTGAGCCTTCTGAACCTGCTGGGAAGGTTGGTCGGACCTGGTGTTGAGCCTTCTGGACCTGATTGTGGACCTGGTGGACCAGTTGCTAGGACGTGGCGTTGAGCCTTCTGGACCTGATTCTGGACCTGCTGGACCAGTTGCTAGGACGTGGCGTTGAGCCTTCTGGACCTGATTCTGGACCTGCTGGACCAGTTGCTAGAACGTGGCGTTGAGCCTTCTGGACCTGATTCTGGACCTGCTGGACCAGTTGCTAGGACGTGGCGTTGGGCCTTCTGGACCTGATTCTGGACCTGCTGGACCGGTTGCTAGGACCTCGTGTTCAGCCTTCTGGGCCTGCTGGATCGTTGCGGGGCTTCTAGAGGGATTGCACGGAGTACGAGCGGGACTTCTGGGGGCATCTGTGAGAATGAGAATGGCATGGAATTGTACGAGGAAAGACTTGAGAGAGAACAGGAGAAGAGGGGGAGGAGGAGGAGGAGGAGGAGGATATCGCGAAGTAAAGGGGTGGGTGAAAATCGCGGTGTGGAGGATGGGTCGACAATCGCGGACCAAAAGGTGGAAAGAAATCGCACGTGGATGAGTTCGACGGGTACCCGAAAGAGAATAGGAAAAGAAGAAAGAAGAAAGAGGAAGAAGATATGGCGGTCGAAAGGATGACATTGTTGGCCGATAAAAAGTCACCCGTCGTCGCATGGTCGACAGAATTGTGAAGGAGTTGCAGGGAGGGAGAGAGGGTCACTGAAGAATGTAGAACGCAACTTTAAGAAAGGAAGTCAGTCTGCTGGTAGGTGAGGACGGCATGCTGAGGCCGAATAGAACGCGGGGTGTCGTCTAGGAATGTGGAGTGCATATGGGACCGAGCAAGTGATGACGAATGGGAAGGAAGGAAGGGGAAAAAACGGAGGAATTCCTCGTGTTGTAATTGTTCGGATTCGAACACCTTCGCTGTTATAACCAAGGCAATGTATAGATCTATATATACACGCGGTTCACTGGGCAGTTTTCTCTCCCTCTCTCTCTCTCCCTCTCTCTCTCTCCCCCTCTCTATATGTGCGTGTGTGTGTGTGTGTGCGTGTGCGTGTGTGTTGTAATGTGCGATATACACGATGTTTGTGTGTACATAGGTAATGCATTTGTTGCTTGTGTTCGTGTACAACGGAAATGTGTGGTTTAAATGGGCTTGGGGTTGAGTAGAGTATTAACTGATTGATTGAGTAGTGTTTCGTATGATTGATTGATTGATTGATTAATTGATTGGAACGACAGAGCGAATGGTTCAGTGGGGTTCATGTCATTTGATTGATCGGAACGATGGAGAGATAGGGGGAGTGGTTCATTAACTGAGGATTGAATACTGCTGATGTATTTTGATTGAATCAATCGATTGATTGATTGATTGATTGATTGATTGATTGATTGATTGTAACTACAGAGTGAATTCTTGAGTGGGTTCATGTCATTTGATTGATTGTAACGACAGAGCAATTGAGTGACTACCGTCTTCCCCCGAACACAACGCATCCAGATATGCCATCTTTCTGCTCCGGCATACGCATAATTAGGATGCATTGTGTTCGGGGAACMCCCCCCCCCCCCCCCCCCCGCCYCYCTCCCSAAAAGAAAAAGGACWGCAGCCGAAGAAAACCTGGCAGCGAACGAACGCCCTCGTGTCAACCTGTCCCTCGATCGTCACGTGGCCGTCACATTGCATATATTCGAATACAAACGGCCACGTGGCAATGCGCTCGCTCTTGTGAACGGCCACGTGACGATGTGCTCGCTCTTTTGCGAACAGCCACGTGACGATATGCACGTTCTTACGAACTGACACGTGTCAACCGTGCTCAAAGCAAATCGTTAGCCTATCCGAGGGTCTAAGGACCTCGCTGCACCACTCACGAAATATGTAAAACGTATCTTCCGCACAGAGCGGCTAGATGCACCCGCCATAGTTTTTCTTTGTCGTTTTCACATTTGGTGAGGTCTGGTATATAGCCACCTGCCACCTGTAGGTACACGGTCTTTTCTGAACGTCCACGTGGCAACCGCTCGTTGACGCAACCTTCCAACTATCCACGTGTTTTTTAACGACGTCCAGGTGTCGGCCACGTGTCAACTGCGACTTTTTTTTTTTTTTTCCCTTTCTTGAGGCTAACCTTTCATCTATCCGAGGGTGCAAAGTATCAACGTGGGCCGTTCTTTTTCGAACGGCCACGTGTCAAAAAACAACCCTTGACGCAGCTTTTGTTGTACGGCCACGTGTGAAAACTATTTTTTTAAAACGCGGCTCTTTTTGAACGGTCACGTGTTAAGCGACACCCTCGACGCGGCTTTTTCAATTTTTTCTTTTTGTTTTTGTTTTTGTTTTAAATGGACGCGGCTCTTTCTGAACTTCCACGTATGAAAACTTATCTTTCACGTGGCTTTTTTTGGAACGCCCACGTGTTAAACGACACCCTTGATGCGGCTCTTTTTGAACACGGCCACGTTTGATACTATGGGCGTCGCTCCACTACACAAGACTCTACATGCATTTGGACGTTTTTCTGGAGCGTATGCATTCGAAATGTTGGACTCGTCCAAATGCACCTGGTGTCCGTTCAGATGCATGTATAGTGTTGTGTAGTGGAGCGAGGCCCTATCTTTGACGCGACTCTTTTTCGAACGGCCACGTGTTAACGACACCCTTGGCGCGTCTAATTTTGAACGGCCACTTATGAAACGATCTTTGACGTGGCTCTTTGGAGAACGGCCACGTGTGCAACCGATGTAAAAAAAAAGAAAAAAAGAAAAAAAAGAATGTGTAACCTATTAGCTGATTGATTATCGGACGGCAAATTGTCCTCTCCGTTATCTCCTTCTTTCCTTCCTCCTCAATTCTTTTTTCTTTTTCTCTTTTAAAGGGCGACCGCCTTGAGATATCATCATTGGACTGACCGGCCCCAGGTGAGAGCGTCGCCACACCACTCCCGACTTGGAAAAAATTGTCGGGAGGACTCCCGAACGTCAGAAGACGTGGAAATCCATTGGGTAGTGTGCTTGGCCACACTGCACTCTGGACTTGGGGTGCCTTCCTCCGATTTGAAGGCTAGGAGGGGCACTTCGGAGAGAGACTGTCCAGCACTGGACAGTCCAGCATGTGGCGACGAAAACTGTAAGGAGGATGCTTGTCTGTGCACGAGTTTTCCGGTAGAAACACAGGCCTCCACGAGAGGGCTCCTGAAAATGGCCTCTTACAGGAGGGAGTCCCAAGCTGTTTCGGAACGCAAAAACACAGGCCATCACGAGAGGGCTCCTGAAAATGGTCTTTTAGAGGCGGGAGTCCCAAGCTGTTTCGGGAGTGGTCTCGAACCCAAATTTCTGACTGCTCCCGAATGCATTCTGACATCTCCAAGTCCGGAGGTGGTGTGGCGATGACACACTCCTGAAAATGGCCGTTTTTTCTTCAAGTGGGGATTAGTGTGGCGAGGCCCTAGTTCAGAATGCTTTCATTCTGTTCATGTGATAGCAGCTGGATTCGAGCTTGAGCCTCTGTTTCAACAGTTCATGGGCGTACCAACTGAGCGAACGGCCACGTGTCAACCGTGGATTGATGAAACCTGTCCTGACCTCCAATCCATGGAAGTACGAACGGCCACGCGGCAAACTGTGGTGCGTTTCTGAAGGTGTGCCCTCTAGGCTTTCTTCTTTAGGGACACACCACAGCAGCCCCCCCCCTGCTTAGACGGCTAGTGCCACAAGGGAAAGGCTGAACTGCTTCTTACTCTTCCTTCCTCCTTGCTCTTTGTCTTCTCGTAAGAACATGCTTGCCGGTAATAAGCAACCGGACTGACGCCGCCCAGAATAGTAGGGCCAGTGTCTTGGCTTTAGGCGTTGTCATCCTTGCACAGGGACAATGCTAATCCTCTGTGTATTGCTGTCATCCTTGCGCAGGGCCGATGCTAATCCTCTCTGTATCGTTCCAATTTTAACGGATGGGATGTCTGGGGGCAAGGTCACACCAGCAAAGAGGATTGGATTGAATGCCTGAACCTGGACGTTTTCAAAGAGAGGTGCAGAGAATCGAGATTGAACTGCATTTCTGCATCTCTGCTTGAAACCCATTCAGATTCAGGCGTGCGTACTCGAATACAACGTACGAACTCTATATTTGACAACGTACGTATATTGGACCGAACGTTCTTTTCAAAAAAAAATCAGTGATCTCTGGGGACCCGTTTTTCAGAGGTAAGTTGAATGGAATGCACATACATTTTCTTCGGGTGAAGACAGTAGTGGGACCTCACCCCCGAAGGACTTCCCCCCCCTTCCCCCCCCTCCTTTTCTGTTCTCATTAGTTGGGGAAGTGAGCGGCATGTTTGTCTCTCGACTGGATCAGGACTGGATATGACGTCCCAGTAGGTTCAAACACCTGCCCTTGTACGTATGAGGAAGGAGATATGAGGAAGGAAATAGGTTCAGGTTTGTTGCCCAAGGTTTGAACGCGGATGGTGTCACAGATAGCTAAAATTACTTGCCACGAGTTCACACGAGCCCAAGTTGATAAAACCACCTTCCAGCTTCCAAGGCTTGGGAGCCTTCAATGTTATTTTTTCGGAATGACCTTCCGCCTTCACTGCCAAGATAGCGGCTCATGCCGGCAGCAGGGTAATGGCCGTACTGCTTAAACCGCCAAGCGCTGGACTTAGCTTCGGGCGAGGTGGGGTCGTAAACCACCCGTATATGGCAATACATTGGCCGCAGGCCCCTCGTTGTGACTTTGCGACTTTCGGATGCAGGAAAAGCCACGAAAGCCGTAAACCACCTGTATACAGAGATACATTGGCCGCGGGCCCCTCATTGTGGGGACAAGCTCATTTTCTGCAAGGATGGGACTGTATACCGGCGGTTTAACCTCTTGGAAACTACAACCGTATATGAAAAACCGGTTAAACCACCATTACTTCCGAGGCACTCTTCTCAGGGATTGAAAACGGCCTGCGCGCCCGTAAAAAAACGAACGGGCGCGGGCCTTGTTTTGGTTGGCACCGCCATCCATTTTGCTCTGGAGGTCGAGCCCTGAAAGTTGCGGCTGCATGCACATTTTATTCTTTGGCTGGGCCGCCAGTTCACCTGAAGCAGAGTTGCTGTACTGCTTTTACTGATATACGTGGTAAGAGCACTTCGACTCCGGACTGGGCCAGTGGTGAAAGCTGCAGGCCACATTGAAAAGGCGCAGGTGCAGGCTCACAAGCCTTGGAAGGTCGCTTTGTCAACTTAGGGCCGCGTGAGCCGGTGGTTTAAACCGCAAGTACAGTGCCCCAGCCTTGGAGAAATTTTTTGTTGCCACAAGCAAAACTCGGAGGGGCCGCGCGGCGTGGGGGGCCGTTGGAAGAAAAAAATCGGCGGCCTCCGAAGTGGTGCGGGTTTCGTGCTGACACCCGCGGGCCGATGTGTGGTGTACTGGTGCTTTAAACCGGCAGTACTTGCCAGCCACGTCTACCCCGGGGCTCCAGACACCCTCCCCCCGGAAAGTTGCGGCAGCATGCAAGGCCCGTCGGAGAAAAATGGCTGGGAACGATGCCCTGGGGCCAAGTCCCACATGCATCTTTTGAGTTGAGCTAGCTCGACGGTGCCACGGCCAAAAACGGGGGGGAAAAAAATGCTCAAAATGATAAATTAGTATTTTCTTTAATGAATTTCCGATTGTCCATCGACTTTAGGAAGAACAAAAGCCGTAGGTCGTGCCGCTAGAAGAATGCTGCTAGAAGAAAAGTAACACGCTCGTCACGGCGCCTGACCCTCTAGCAGCACCATGCCCATCACGGCGCCTGACCCTCCACGACTGTTAGATACTCATATATGGAAAGGTCTTGGAAACAAGGCCTAAGCTAAATAATGTTAGGGCGAATGTTGCCTCTTTTCTTCCTAGATGATACATTGAGGGTCTAGATCACAGCCTACACGCCCAGTCCCAAGTGCCAGCAAATGTCAACGAAGGTGTCGGAAGTCATGCGCTGTCAGACAGCGACAATGACAGCCGTCAGGCACCTTCACGTTGGTCCTCGTTTCAGTCGAAGCACCGTTGAGCTAGCCGCCCCACCTACCTTCTTCCCCGGAATACAGCGTACGCCGTACGGTCATCATAGCTGTATTTAGGGCATCTTTCAGTCTAAATACAGCTATATAATGACCATACGTTGTATCCGGGGGAAGAAGGTAGGTCTCAGACCCTCAACCTCAGGCTGCAAGGGCTCAGACCCTCAACCTCGGGCGGAGCCTCTCCACTCTCACAAACCGAGAAAAAAGAAGATTTGCAAGCCAACAAGCTTCTTTTTTCTTCTCTCCCCCCCCCCCCCGCCAACTTCCCAAGCCAAAACGATAACTACTGTGTGGGCGGGTCCGCTGTGCTGACAGGTAGGCTGAACCCAGTCCATGAAGCCCTGGGCCCTATCCCTGACACCTCCCAACCCTTCAAAAAAAAAAGAAGGCGGGTCCGCTGTGCTGACAGGTAGGCTGAACCCAGTCCGTGAAGCCCTGGGCCCTATCCCTGACACCTCTCAACCCTTAAAAAAAAAAGAAAAAAAAGAAAAAGATAACTGCACCGACGAACCTAGCTCGGTTGATACACCCACAAACTGTTGAAATACACACCCAAGTTCGTATCCAATTGCAATCCGATGAACAGAGTCAAATAATTCTGAATTACCTTTTGTGGGCCAGTCAGTTCAAAGATGCTATCTCCTGGCTGTCGCCAGAAAAAGAGATGACTACGGTACTAAGAAATACACCCCCCCCCCCCCCCCCCCCAAAAAAAAAAAAAAAAAAAAAAACAAACCCTAAAGACTACCGATTGAAGACATCTACCAGCCAGCCACAATCGGACTCTCTCAAAAAGTACTAATATGGCTACAAAAATCTGGATGAGAGTCTCTCCAAAGGGGTTCAAAAAAAGAGGAAAACATCGTTTGTTCTCCAAGAAACTAAATATAAAATTTGTGCCCACAAAAAAGGAAAAGGGAGAAGTCCTTCTGACCCGAATGTTGAAGCTTTACCTTTTAAAATTTAAACCGCCCACTACCCCCGCCGTCGTAAATTTGCCCCTCCCTACCGGTAGGCCAAAAGCGTGAAACGACGTCCGGGCAAAACTCGAAACACGCATTTGCCACAAGCTACGTTCGTCTGGTGAACAAAAATGCTACCGTACCAAAATGACTGGCCGCACCAGCCGTAAAAAAAGTGAAATGTCACGCTGGTGCATTGGGTAACCATAATGAATGACACACTTCTGTTTGGCTGATGTGTCCTTCCCTCTGAAAAGTTCAGTTTTGTACTCCTGCGCTGCTTGATATCAATGTGTGGATTTGTTTCTATACATGACGGCCTACTTCTTCTTCTTTTTTTTTTTTTACACGACGGCATATAGTTCTACTAAGCTCGTGTTTGAAAAGTTCAGATTCTGTCCATGAATTTTTCCATTGCCGGGATTCGGACCCGGGTCGTCTGGGTGAAAACCAGATATCCTAACCGCGGACTAGACCACAACGGAGTTGATGTTAACAGAGAAAGGACCAGTGTAGTGCCATGCCATGTTTCTATGCTGTTGAAACGAGGAGGCATTTTCAATTGCGAGCATCATCAAGGATGCACTGAAATTTGCAATTGTCTTGCGAAACTCACAATGCTGAAGAAAAAGGAACGAAGAAAAGGCTGAAATATGAATGTGTGTGTGTGTGTGTGTGTGTGTGTGTGTGTGTGTGTGAGAGAGAGAGAGAGAGAGAGAGAGAGAGAGAGAGAGAGAGAGAGAAGGAGCATAATCGCACTAGGAGTTCCCTGGATGTATCTGAGTGCAATTACAACCCGGGTGTATGTATCTGACTGCAATCACGTCTAGAAATTTGCTGAACAAGTCCTCATGTTTCTATTTACCAAT